TTCTGAAACCGGAAGAACAGAAAGAAATTTTAAAAAAATCAAAATTTATCTGATGAACATACATACGGAGTAGTCGGTTGCAGTCAATAGAAGATGTACAGTGAATCAGCGAGAAACTTACTCTGGAACAAGAATTCCGAGATAATGAACGGGAAAACCTGTAGAAGATCATGACGGGATGAAATGGCTGAAGACAGCTGAATCGAGTTGACGATGAACTTTGTTCTTACTTCTTTTTTCAGGACACTTTGTTCTTATTTAATTAATATTTGTTACACGAAAAATACATACAAGTGGAAAAATATCACAATTCAATATGAATGCTACCGTATATCAAAAGTGTATCCCAAATGTACATCATCCCTTCCAATGTCATCCCTTCGTCCACAAATAAACTTTACGTTCACTATTCACATAGTCAAACTTTATTCACTTTGTTGGCCTATTTTCGTTACCCATTTGATAAAATAATATAATCATGTCACTTTTAGTTTTGTAGATCTTTTGATATAGTTTTTTAATATCTGATTTTTATTTTAAAATTTCACACAATTTTTCATATAAAATGATTTAAAAATAACTTCAGTCAAACATCGTAACGCGCAACGTAAAGTTTATTTGTGGACAGAAGGAGTATATATTAGCAATAAAATATACAAAAAATAAATAAATAAAGTAAGTGATATAAAAATGGGTGGTGTACATTTAGGATACACCAAAAGTGTACCCCTAGCATCCCTCATTCAATATACTTCCTCCCCCCACACGGGCCACACCACAATAGATAGTGTACTCTGAACAACAACGTATAAAATTATATTCCCTTCATCCCTAAATAAACTTTCCTTTTTGATTTTTTGGGGATTTAAGGTAGAGATATTTTTGTGTTCACTTTCGAAAAATACTCTTGATGTGATGTGTAAAAGTAAGATGTGATATGTAGATTATTAATAAAAAAATATAATGTGATAGGTAGAGTATGAAAAAGTAAGGGTAAAAGAAGTTTTTTTAAGGAAAAAGAGAAGTTTATTTAGGGACAAAGAAAAAATAAAGGGGAAATTTATTTGGGGACGGGGGAGTATTACTTTTAAAATTATTTTGACGGCAAAGTTTTAACCCCTCCTAACGCGCTCTAAACCCCCACTGCACCCCCACTTAGACAACCTTTGCCCCTCTAAATGTATGGCTATTAGTAACGGCAAGATTTTTATCCTTCCTAACACATCCCCTAAATACCACCGCACTCCCACCCTAGATCTCTTTTTACCCTTCCAAATGTGTGGCTATTATAATAAACACATATTTGGAGGGGATAAAAGTGGAGGTCTAGGATGGAGATGGAAGTGCGGTGGAGGGTTTAGAAGTGGGTTAAGAGGGGTAAGAATCATCAATTTTGAAAGCGGAGCACTGGATTACTTGAAATACACAAGTATAATCCGTTGACACTAGATGACAGTGTCAATGGAACCTTGCCGTCATTTTTTAATTTAAAATTCGTATAGAAATAAAAAGTGACTATATATTACTCCGTATATCGTTAAAAAGTACATAAAACATTCTTTAAAATATGAGGTGACAAAATTATTTTATTTTATGAAACTATCAATGAAAACATATAAATAAACAAAATTTTATTGGGAGACCGTAATAGTAACAGAATTAAATATTTTTAGACTGAGAGAGTATATACGTATTGAGCAACACTTACTAGCAGAACAATTATATTTGGATTCGGTACAAGTGAACTTCTTGTATCAAAAATCTCAAATTCGAATATATATACATCACCTTGGTTCCCATGACATTGGGAACCAATGTCATGGGATAACCCGAGGGCGCTCTGGTTTCTCGTTCGTAAAATTAACGGTTCCTACCCCCCTAACCCCCCCAGTAATATATATACATCACCTTGGTTCCCATGACATTGGTTCAGATGATCCGGGGGCCCTATATACATACTACAAAGTAATATGGAGTATTTTTTTATATAAGTCTATTTATATTCAAAAAAAAATATTTCTTCAATATGTGACAAGTTTATTTTGAAAACTTGGTTCACCTTTTATTATTTAAGAATTATATTTTATTTGAATTTTAATTTTCTATAGATACATTTTAATATATTATGAAGTATTTAGAATACTATTTTGTTACTGTGTGTTTACTCTAATTTGTGAAATATAAACTGAATTTCATAAACATTATTTGGATTTTAATTATTTTTTTTAATTTTTATAATTATTATATTATAATGTATTCATGATTTTTCATAAAAAGGGAGTTTGTTATTCCCTCGGGTTTTTGAAATTTTTTCATTTGAGTTTTATAGTCTTCAATGCAATATTTTGACTATCAATATCTTTATTTATAGAAAAGACTATTCAAATGTCTCACTACATAAATAATATTTTCATCTCTAAGAAAAGGTCTGCGTTTCACTCTAGAAGTTCAAGAATTTTTTAGGTCACTTGTTCCTTATCTTTAAAAAAGTAGAAGCATAAAAGTGTTGGTGAAACGACCAAAGAAAAAACTATATATAATTCTTTTTAAAACGAGAAAATAAAGTATCACGAGGTAAACTACTTACTAAAAATGTACCACAAGTATGGTTTTAAAAATTACAAGAGAAAGAGTTGAAGTGAAAGACCTCAAAAATTAAAGTTTTAAAGATTGGTACCTCCCAAAAAATGGAGCCTTGGTCCTAGTTTGTAGAGATGGCAAATTGATTCGTCAAGTCGAATTCTGGTTCAATCATTCTGGATTGGGGTAAACCCAATGGCTATAATAAAATATGTATAAAATCTATTAGATTATTTTAAAATATCACTCTCAATAGAAGTAAAACTTAAAGAAAGTACTAAAATAATAGTTTCATATTTTCACAATACTTAATGTATATGATCATGATTGACACTATAATGTATATTTTCATTCACACTCTAATTTTCCCATTAGTCTGACTCCCTAGCTTATTTCCGGTTCCTAACAGACTCTAAAAGAACAACATCGGAGTAGGCCTAAAGTAGATCAGTGGAGCTGCGGGATAGAGTGATCCCATAGGTAGAGGTGCCCTGTAGATAACGGAGAACCCGTTTTAAAGCAGTAAGATGGGGCGTCCGAGGAGCGTGAAGATAGAGACATAACTGTTGTACTGCATATGTGAGATCGGGTCGGGTGAAAGTGAGATACTGAAGCGCACCAACAAGGGACCGATAAAGAGATGGATCGGGGACTGGGTCACCATCTGTAGCGGACAATTTCCCTTTGGAGTCCACGGGAGTAGAGATAGGCTTACTGTGAGTCATACCTGCTCTTTCCAGAATTTCATGGGCAAACTGAGTCTGATGTAGGAAGAGTCCCTGTTTGGTGCGCTGAACATTGATGCCGAGAAAAAAATTAAGTTCCCCCATATCTGTCATGGCAAATTCTCCTTTTAAGCGCTCTGTGATCTGGGATAAGAGCATGGTCGTCGAGGCTGTGAGCACAATGTCATCAACATAAAGGAGCAAGTATGCCATGTGTGTGCCACGTGTGTAAACAAATAGGGAAGTATCAGTCTTGCAGCCCTGAAATCCGATGTGGTGTAGAAATCCAGCAAACCGTTGATACCATGATCGAGGGGCTTGTTTTAAGCCATAAAGAGCCTTCTTGAGTTTGCAAACGTGGTGTGGGCGTGATGGATCCTCGAACCCAGAAGGCTGACTGGCATAGACGGTTTCCTGAAGGTGGCCATGGAGAAAAGCATTCTTGACATCCAGCTGATGTATGGGCCAGCCCCGAGCGAGAGCCAAACTAAGGACAATCCGGACGGTGGCCGGTTTGATGACCGGACTGAACGTGTCACTGTAATCAATGCCGAAACGCTGGTTGAACCCTCGGACTACCCAACGAGCTTTGTACCTAGACAGATCACCTGTGGGGCCAAATTTGTGTCTAAAAAGCCATTTGCCAGTTATAACATTTTGAGTGGGGGAGGGGGGGGTACTAATTCCCATGTGTTATTCTTTATTAACGCATTAAATTCATCACACATTGCATCATACCAGTTAGGATCTTTCAGTGCACTACGATAGGTTGGGGGAAGTGGTGAGATGGTAGCTGAAGTGTTAAGGTTTAGGATGGATTTGGGACAGTGGATGCCAGCTTTGGCGCGGGTGGTCATTGGGTGTGT